CCCTCCCCCCCGCCGCTCCGCCCGCCTGGCCAAGGATGCGGCCTTGGACCGTGTTTTTGCGGCCGGCGACGCTGTCGCCGAGGGCCGGATTGCCGTTGCGGCCGCCCGGGCCGAGCTCGCCCAGGCTGAGGCCGACCACGCGGCGGAGCGCGCGGCGCTCCAAGCCCTGGAGCCCGCCCCCGGTGTAAGTAATATAACTTTCTTTACTCCCTTGCACAGCATATCACAGCACAGTTGCCAAGTGGCGGAGAGAGTCAAGACCTTTAGATGATGGGAACTCTCTCGTTATGTTATACTGGGTTGCATCTCCGAGCTCAATCGCCGTGTGGGGCCGGACGACCGACCAGGCGACCCATCTCCTCCGGCGCCGATACATCTGTCTCCACTGAAGACAGTTCTTTAGGAGAATTTAGACCTCCAGTTATGAAAGAAAAAATAAGGTAAGGCGTCGCGATATGGGTGCCTAGCCTTCAGCACTGCGGGGCACTGTCAACTCAGTGTTACTGATTACAGCTGTGTGACGGACGACCCTGACACCTTTACCTCTGCAAACCAGGCAGCTCCCTCCCACCTTTTAACATCAACATCAACACAAAATGAGTGACCTCGCAGAGCAGCTTGGCCGCGGCCAGCCTGTTAGAATCTCCGAACGCGACAAATCGGGGAATCTCTTACGCACATGGAGTCATACTCCTGACAATCAGGTTCGTATTAAATATCTGGCTTGTTGCGTCGCTAATATTTGAAGGTCGTTCTCGAGAGCAAGGCTCGCACCTCTCTGCTCCCCTCTATGCGCGAAGTTTTCATGCCTGTTGGATACCCCCATTCCGTATCAAGTGATTACTTCAACTATCAATTATTTGACTCTCTGCAAGCTTTCTTTTCAACAATCACTTCCCTCCTCGCGAACAGAGCCCTTCTGCAAGGGTTAGGTGTCGGCGATGCCAACTCATCCGCCACATTTGCCATGTTCCTCACAGTTCTCAAAGATGCCGTCTCCCGCATCGCCACGATTGTTTTTGCTCACCGGTTTGGTCTTAGATTTAAGCCGGACGCAAAGCGCTTTCGTTTCCTAGCGGACCTATTCAACGACACTGCCTTCTTCATGGAACTGTACAGCCCATACCTTGGTTCCTACGGCAAGGTCCTCGCTCTTACCACCGGCGAGGCTCTGCGTGCGCTCTGCGGTGTCGCGGCGGGTGCGAGCAAAGCTGCGTTGAGCGTGCACTTTGCTAAGCATGATAACCTTGCTGAACTCAACGCCAAAGAAGCTAGTCAAGAAACAGCTGTCGGTCTTATTGGTCTTGCTATTGGAACTATCATTGTCCACTATGTGGAGAATCATCATACTGTTGTGTTCCTGATGACAACTCTTGTACTCGCACATTTATGGATAAACTACCTCGGCGTCACCAGTGTATGTATGGATAATCTCAACCGTCAACGCGCTACTATCCTTTTCCAAGAGGTCCTCGATACAGGCAAACTCTTATCCCCCGCGGAGGTCTCCAAGCGCGAGAACATTTTATTCTGGAAACCAATCGTCTACAACAAGGCTGGTGATATTGCCACCCGAATCGAAATGGCAGGAAGCTATGGCGAGGCTTGCGCTTCCCGATGCCACGAAACAGTCACCATTCATGGAAATCGAAACATCCTCTTCATAACACCCGGTCACACATACTCAATCAAGATCATGCTTTGGGAAGATTCTACTGCCATTCACGCCATCAGCGCCTGGTTCGAGGCTATGAAGATGGCCTGGGGTATGGTGGGCGTGGGCAAGGAAAAGACAATCCCAGGGAAAGAAGGCAAAGAAATCTCCGACAATGTTGCGCTTTGGGATCAGCTACGTGCTAAGGGTTGGAACTTGGACTCCCAGGCCTTCGAGACACAGGCGGCTACTCGGCTGAACTTTGAGAAGGATGAGTGACTTTAAATTTCTAGACTTGGGAAAAAAAAGAAAAAAAAAGAAGAAAAAAAGGGAAAAAGCATGTACTTAGAGGACCAGGGCATACTTTAGCCATGGTGAAGAGACCCAGTGTGGTCGTTAATGACTCAAAGTAACCTTAGACACCGTTCTATACTTTTACCAACCATATTGTACATTTTCCAAACGCCTCACCGTGAATTATACATATCATACAGATCATTATACACAGCACTTATGCCAAGAACGCCCATCGCTTGGCTCGCATCTTGACGCCCTCCCACGTGTTCAGCTTTGGCCGCACATCAAGGTAGAAACTAGGTCCGCCAGATCCATTAGGTCGTCCAGAGTAAAAATCGATAACGTAGTCAACTCTTGTACCGCAGCGGTCGATAACCCAGTCGTGACGGTCAAAGGGTGCTGTGTAGCCGATCATCGTCTTGAAGCGGGCGGTAGGAGTCATGCGATCCATCTTGTTGGCGAAAGATTCGAGCTTGGGACCACCGCATCTAACATCGTTAGTACATCTTTGCATAAGAGGATTTGCGAGACTTACGTCGTTCCCTCAAGGTATGGCGCTTCCCACTCCTTGATCTCCTTCCAGGCTCTTTCATTAACAGCATTGTGAATCGGCACAACAGTCTTCATATCCGCCACCCTCGCATCATAACCCTTTCGCTTCATCGCCTCGAAAAACATCTTCTCGGAAGGATACACCCAGTTTCCAGAGGGATCCATACCAGTCTCCATCTCATGGTTCTTCGGTCTCGCAGGTTCTTTCTCATGATCGACAGGGCACGCCACGGGGTTACCCGTAGTTCGCGGAATCGTGGAAACTACTCGATCTGTTTCAAGACCATCGTTCGTAGGTTTATGCGCAGGCGTAGGTACAGCCGCTGGTGAAGACCATAGGTATGAAGTAAACGTCTGCGTCCATGACTTGGGCTGCTGCTGCGCTGTGTGGTCGACGGGACATCCTGCTGCTTTTGCGGCTTCGGCTTCACGGGCTTGGGCGAGCCATGCGTCGCGGGTCTTGTGGTCGACGGGACAGGCGTCGTTTTTGTCTGCCATTGTGATATGCTGGTTTGGTGGGTTTCAAAGGTGCATGGAACTGTAAAAAAAGATTCAGGTGCAAATGGCGTAATTGGTCGTGGGGATCGTAAATGCGCCGGGGTGGATTGGCGGGAAAGAATTAATGTGGACCCGGGATTTTCCCGTGTCGGTGGTCGGAGGTTGACTTGGCCGACTTCACTTACATCCAACTGCTTCCGTGGTAATGACTTGATTGACTCAATAAATGTCTAAGCTAGCAATAAGAGACCAAATACTTTGTCTCTTGAGTCTAAGCTAGGAACAAGAGACGTAAATTCTTTCATTCTTTAGGCTCTTGGCTGTTGCTACTTCTGAAGGTAGACATCAGGTTATGAGAAGAAATCTATTGACAGCCAGGCCTACAACAGCTCGGGATCCGTCTCAAATCTTCCTCTTACACCGGGAGCCAGCTTCCACGACATAAACCGAATGACCAGGGGAGGAAGCGGAACACCTCCATTCTTTTGCCTTTGCTCCTTTGCAATCTCTTCTATTGGATGAAATGATATGAGTACTTCGTTTGGGAATGTGTTATACAGAACCTCCTCATCTGGTAACTCATAATAGATCCGACCGCGGAGATAAAACGTCTCCGGAGAAGTATCTTCCGGTGTTCTTCTGTGCCCGTGAAGAGCCTCCCTCAAATGCAGATTGTTCGTCCTAGAAGGGGCTTCTACCAGTCTCCCTTCAATAATGCGTGGTTGGATGCAATCTTGTCTCGGTTCAATGAGGAGATATAACGTTCGGAGCTCTTTGAGAACGCCTAACATACAGGCCAATGAAGATCTGTAACGCCAAAATAACTCTAAGCTGAAGGGAACGGCGATCTGCTTGATGTTTGTGCCTGTTCCTCGTTTGAAGTCAGAGGGTATCCTACCGTGCCCAAAAGTGATAGAGACGGAATGGCGCAGGATCATGAGGTCTTGAGAAATATCAATCCTCTTCGTAGGTGGTTTCAGTGGCATAGCTGGTCCGCCTCCGTACGTCCTAACAAAATAGGGCGCCCCCAAAGCTGACTCATCCAGTGTCCCATGCCAGGCGCTAGGCCGAGGGCAATAGCATTCGCTGATATCTTCATATACTTCATGGATCTCCAGCAACGCTGTACCTGGACTCTCTCTTTCCCAGATGTCCTTAACAAACGCGTATGAGCGTCGACAGGTTTGCATCAACGCCTGGCGGACAGGGTAGATTGCTTCTATACTAGGGCGTTCTCTCCTCGGATAGCAACTACTGCACTTTCTCTTGATTTTCAGTAGTCTCATCTTACAGTAGCCGTCGCTTTCTAATTTGGGGTGAGCGTAATGAGCAGTTGGGGCAGATATGTCCAGAGCGTGCTTCCAGATCTGATCCTGGAGCTCCGGAGGTAGTTGAGAGAAGCGATGAAAGCTTCCTAACTCGTCATCTTGTTGTTGAGACGCACCGAGTCGTTGCTCAGATGCATTGGCTTGTCGCAGAGGCGAATCGGCTCGTTCCAAGAACATGATGCGCTTGTTTGGGCATGGCGGTGACAAGTTCTCGGTGCGAACGTTTCGACGTGGTGGAATGTTATCCATGGTGAATGATAGAGCGACGTATCTATCAGAATAATTAGTTACTGAGAACACAAGAGATGGAATGATTCAACTACCTTATGCCGGGTCTTACCAGCACTGCTACTTTGTTTCAGTGTCGTAAGTCTTGGATGGCAAGTCTTCTGTTACCCAGTAGAGTGGGAAAAAAGGTGTGAGAGATTGCAGAACAGGCGGCCAGGCAAAATTTTGGTTGACTCACAAAGAGAACACATTCAGATTGCTTTATAGTTTACGTGAAAAGCATATGCATTCAATTTCGATCCTGCTTTCTGGAAATGCTCTTATAAAAGTTCAAATCTTGACATATGACTGGCTCAAGAACTTCAGACTTGATTGCCTAAAGTATAAGGGACGAGATGCGAAGTTGATTTGATATCCATAAGACTGGGGCTCTATCTCATGATCCAATGTTATATTGTGATGGCCTCTTGGGAACTGACATTTGTTCTTTCTGGCTCTACCATATACCATCGCTGCCGGTGGAATCACTGATGAGTTGACCAACCACGATGGTGAACAAAACGGAATGAGTAGCGCCTGAAGCTGGCCCAGGGCTTGAAGAAGACCTCAGAACTTCTATGGGACTCTGGCGACATGATGCTCACTCGAGACGGAGCTATGCCAGAAGTTTGGACTATGAAGACCAAAATTTCTCGCGATGGAGTCTAGGATTCCCATCAGCTGGGTGTCTATGAGCCAGAGCTCGGATGTCGACAAGAAGGCACAGCTTTCTTGGAACAGAATAATAACAGTATGTCAAAGGTGGCTACTTGGGTTTAAATTTTTCGAGTCTTCTCGGTGATCTCAACAATAAACTTGACATCTTCTACGCAGGTCATACTCAATAGGTCCGAGCAATACTCGCCCATAGGAACTGAACTCTAACTATTGTGAACACATATGTGACTCATGAACATTCAATTCAATAATCTACGCGTGTATATAGAGAGAACAGTACGTGTGTAAGTGACATGCATTCGTTTTGTACGCCTGCTTGCATGTGGCCATCAAGGTGAGAAGAGTTGTTGATGCTAAGAACATGAGGGACGAAATAATCTAGACACTTGATGCCAGGTTAGGTCAGCACTTAAGCTACTTTAGAATATCTTCAGTGTTAGATGCCGATAGACCCTGGTTGTCTGCCCTGTCTGCTTGTATGCACGTAGTGTAAGATGAAGGCTCTGCAGGGAATAGCTTCAAAACTCCACTTATACAATTTTATATTGATGGCTGACATGTCACCCTCCACCTCTTCATCACAGCCCTGCCCAACAGCGACCTAGTTACAGTGGTACCTGAATTGCTGATGTCAATCTACAGCCTCTTTTTGCGGAGATCGAGTCAGGTTCCTGGATTTCAACCAAGGCGTGATGGCTGGTCGCGCACAGGCTGCCAAGGCACTCTGTCGTGTGAGCTCAGCAGATCTCGATTTCTACCACCATTCACACTGAAATAGAATTCTATCAAGGCCCACGATCTTCTGACTTTGCGCAAAATGGGGTTCTTTTGGCGGGACAGAGCGTAGAGAGTTCCACATTTCAATCGTCGCGATGATTTCATCGAGACCCTCGATGAAATCATAGTAATGACATCACTGTGACCTTTTATCACTACAAATAATAGAGATCCCAAAGTTAAAGTGAAGAATATTCTCATCATCAATCTCATCATACAAACAATCACTCTCATCTGAAATAAAAACACAAGACTTTTTACTTCATACCCCCAATCACCAAATCAAAATGTCTTCCAACTACGAGCAGATCGCCAAGCAGGCCGAGAAGGACCTCAACACCTACCAGGCCAAGACTGGTGCCGCCCGCCCCAATGATGTCGAGAACGCTGGTGTCAACCCCAACGTTGAGAACAAGTTCGAGAGCGCTCACGTCGAGTTTGGCGATGAGTTGAGCACAAACGCTGGCTACAACAAGCGCATTCCTCCTTCCGAGGGTGGTATCACCGATGACAAGGGCCGGTACGTTGAACCCCACAATCTCTATTATGTACAGTAACTTACTCTTTCACAGACAAGCCACCGGTGAGCTCTACGAGGGCACTGGCGGTCCCCTCGACAAGCTCGAGAAGGCCAACCAAGAGCGCGGCGGCGACAACGACAACGATGTTGTCAACGCTGGCTTCAAGCAGACCTCCGGCCTCGGCGCCCAAGACGACCTTGCTACCCAGGGCCAGGATGCCATGCGCGCCAACGTCGGCCGCAACCCTCCCGGTCCCGGCGGCTCTCAGTTCAAGGGCGCTGACTACACCGAGGACAGCGTCCCCGATCCCCGCTCCGCTCAGGGCAACATTGCTCCTGACAGCGCTATCGAGACTGCTCGCGGCGACTAAATGGAAATGGAACTCAAAATGGAAAGGAAAGCATCGGAGTGAATGGATTATTTAAGCGGGTTACTGTACGATTATATTGGTAATTGAAACCGACATGATTTATGACCACAACAATATGTTCTGTCTTTTTAAAGTGATTGATGGTGATAGTTCGGAGCGTTTCGGCCCCCACTGTGGTTCCCGCTAGAGCCCGCAGGAGCTTAAGCATGATCAACGTCATGAGGCCTCGGCCTTATCTCGTGACCCGGCCGCTAATTTATGAAACTCCAACGTCTTCTTATCAGCAACATCACGACCGCAACAACGAACTCTCCGCAATGTGCTTTTGTTCTCGACAGCGATAACACGTTTACAGTCCGCCGAAATGTCTGGCTTATCACCTTCGTCGTCTGGGCTACTCCCAATGCCTGGTGCGCCGTCATCTTCTTGGGCCGGATATAAAGCACGAGTTGCGGCTCTGCTGGGACATCATGACACCAAAGTCATCGTCGCCTTTTGGCTCTTTGGTATGTCAGACCGTGGATGTTGATTGATACCTGACTGACGTCTATTTAGGCCTCATTAACAATGTCCTCTACGTGATTATCCTCTCCGCCGCCCAAGATCTCGTCGGTTCCCTACCAAAAGGAGTCGTCCTCCTCGCCGACGTCGTGCCCTCGTTCCTGACCAAACTGATCGCTCCATACTTCATCCATCGCATACCCTACCGCACACGAATCCTCATATTCATCGCTCTGTCTGCAGCAGGCATGCTCATGGTGGCCTTGACACCGAGCACCCAGTCCGTCGCGATCAAGCTCGTAGGCGTCGTCCTCGCGAGTATAAGCGCCGGAGGCGGTGAGCTCAGCTTCTTGGGTCTTACCCATTTCTACGGAGCGATGAGTCTCGCAGGCTGGGGTTCGGGAACTGGCGCCGCGGGCTTGGTTGGTGCTGGACTATACGTGATGTTTACTGATTGGTGGGGATTGAGCGTGCGTAGCAGTTTGTTGATCTCTGCGTGCTTTCCTGCGATTATGTTTGTCAGTTTCTTTGTGATATTGCCTCTTGGGCCTTTGAGAGAGGGTACCAGGAAGGACTACGATGCGATTCCGGATCTTGAGGATGAAGATGTCGATCACATGGGCCAAGGGACTGCTTCGTCGGCGCTCTTGGCTCCTGGTCCTTCTGTTGCGTCGACTGTGTACTCTGCGCGAAACCATCAAGAGACGCTCACTGTGAGAGATCGACTGAATAAGGTGAAGAAGTTGTTTGTGCCATACATGATGCCGTTGCTACTGGTGTATGTGGCCGAGTATACGATCAACCAAGGAGTTGCGCCTACACTACTGTTCCCGCTTGAGGAGTCGCCGTTTGACGAGTTTCGAGCGTTCTACCCATTCTACGGATTTCTCTACCAGCTTGGTGTCTTTATCTCACGATCATCCACCCCATGGATCCGCATCCACCAACTCTACCTCCCCTCCATGCTCCAAATCGCGAACCTCATTCTTCTCACATTACACGCGATGTACTTCTTCCTCCCATCAGTCTACGTCGTGTTCATCATTGTCTTCTGGGAAGGTCTCCTAGGAGGAGGCGTCTATGTCAATTGTTTCGCCGAAATCATGGAAAACGTTCCCGCCGAAGATAGAGAATTCAGTCTTGGAGCAACTACCGTGAGTGATAGTGGGGGTATTTCTATCGCTGGTCTTATTAGCATCGTGATGGAGACCAAGCTGTGCAATTACCAGGTTGCGCATGGACGAGACTGGTGTCGACGCATTTCTGCACAGGGTCATTAGCGGTTGGATACACAAGGCGTTTGAGCGATGGGTTATTTGTAGATGATTTGTGGATTGCAAATAGAAGCTCTGATACATGCGTTACGCGTTTTGACATTCGCCTCATTGACGTGTTATTGCACGCGCAAGCAGAACAATAAGCGAGTGTCCATGCAAATATCCATCTAGATAAGCGGGAAAAGATTCAGGGGAATTTTTGTTACAACTCTTGCGAACTTCAGCGTCATCATTTTTAAATTAGAGAATTCAATTTGTCGCTTTGTTCTCCGGAGCCGGGGAGCATGGGCCAATTAATCGGAAACAAACCCCGGTTAGAGAACGTTGAGAGTTCCGGGAGGAAGGTCTTCCTTGTAAGGCGGAGAGAGGCTTAAATTACATGTGGATGTGACGGAAGAGATGCCATCTGGACTGGATCTTTTGGAGAGATGAAGATATTTTGACAAGTGAGAGTTGACTACAGGTTATGCCACCGCCACAGTAGCTATAAACAGATTGAAGCCACCGACAACATTGCGGAAGTGATTGCCGGGAATGCCTTGTGGCTGACGGAAAGACCGGAGATGAACAACCACTGTGAATGCGGCGCAGACAACGAGACTCCCGTGAAGAGACGGTTTGATGGCCTTCTTATACGAGTTTTGTCAGAGCAGCTGAAGGACCATGATACGACTTTGCCAAGCGGATAGCGGCCTAGTGCTGACCGGCTTGGCAGGTTTCATCCATGTGAATCGCAATTGAGAGAATGTTGATCCAAATTGTAAACAAGCAATTTTGCAACCCTGATACTACCAGCGGAGCATATTATCACAGGTTGAAATGGTATGTCGTGTGTCGTTAAGACATCAAGGGATTGAAACATTTATACCCGTCGGGAATGATTACTCGTTTGCTAAATGCTCGCATCTCCCCGCGATTGAAGCTTAACGGTGAGCCGAGTTTCTTGGTGGAGTCGTTTGTTGGGTTTCTGGAGATTTGACAGGCTGTGGCCGTGCGGGTAGAACTATTGATTGTCAAGCTTGACAAGCCTTGACTATTGAAGTTGACAGTTCTAAGATCCGAGGTCACTATTTCGTGCACAGCTACAGTGTTGGGTCTGTGGGATTGAATGTCAGACATGCATATTCAAGGGACTTGACAATGTCTCTTCCAGTCTCAGCCCTTCAACAGGGTGAATGCCTTCTGGTCAAAGGGAGTCGACTGTCTTACATTCCTGTTATCTTTCAGGGGTCTACTCTCATCCTGTCGGAATTCAATTCGGTCAACTCAATTGCTCTGCTTATTGTTTGTAGCTTACTGTACTTTTCCCATCTCGGCCTCGACTGCAAATTAAAGCAGAAAAAAAGGCCAAGCCAAATTTCCGCCTAGCGAGAACGTTGCAGATAAGCTATTGTGTGATTGGCTGGATGGGCGCATCGCAATCAAGGCCGAACCATGCAAGTGCCAAGTGGCTTCCCGAAAGGGAGGACCATCCAATGTCTGATCGAGATGTGACTACAGGGGGTGAAGATATGGGATACATAGAATGGATGAGAGTCAAGTTGATGGATGAGAAGGATGAGAAGGATGGTTCTCAAGTCTGTAGGACAAGACGACAAGGTACCACGTGAGATGAAATCGAGTACTGTAGAGGATTAATTGAGTTATGATAGATGACGCATACATAAAGGGGTACTTTATCCTACCAGATCTGGTCTACTAAGATTGACAGGAACTCTACCTATTGGTCAAACTACCGATACTCCCTAGAATAAGGTAGGCAGGTAAACTCTTTCAGGGGGTTGGGAATAAGACCAGACCAGACCTTGACAATTGCCTCGAAGACACAGAACAAAAAGGAGAAGCCCAGAAAGACGAAACTCACTGTAGATTGCCCCCTGATTCACTTGGCAAAAAGTGACTTGGCATTGGCTGTTGAGTGCATATCGCCACTTTACTCCAAGCCTCATGCCAAGTTCCCTTGGATCAAGTGCGAAGCCCGCCCCCAAAAAAGCGTTTAAAGCCGTCCAATTCAATTTTAGCGTAGCCCATGCCAGTGGATGGCCAGCACTACGCTAGCACTAACAACAGCGGGAAGCCCATGGAAAGGTCGTCCACTCCAGTCCATGCAACCTTGCATCCGTCCAATCTTGCAGGCTGCATCTCCTCTCACGGGCCTCCTTCTTCCCGCCTCCATAACTCGCTTGGTCTTCTTTCCCCCCCTTCCCCGACCATCTCCGTCGTCACCATTGATCCTGCTTGTCTCTCTCCCTGTCCGCTTTTTATTTAATTTAATCCATCCCACCTAAAAGCAGCAAATCCCATTCTCAACGCCCACCCCCTGCCCTGCGCCTTTTCTGACCTTATCAGAACCTGGTTCCTGTTTTTCTTCCCACTTCTCCTCCTCTTCTTTTCTCTTCACCGTTCGTCTTTTCTTCATTACAGATACCATAGTTCTCTTTTTTCTATACACCCAGGCGATTCAAGCTTCGGGTTTGGTTTTCTTAGTGTCCTTGTCGGCACCTTTCATTCCCTTCATTTGTATGAACATTTCCTCAACACGTTGAGATAATACGCGCGTACGGAAAATAAAGGAATCGCTTGCCCATCATGTTTGGTCAAGTGCGAACGAACCGGTCGACGGTCCTCATGGCCGGCACCGTCATCTTTTTGGTCGCTTTTGTTAGCCTGGCCTACAACCATCTCGACACCTGGGAGCCTCCCACTGATGTGTGAGTTGTCCTCTTCGAAAGATCGCCGAAACGATTGCTAACGATGCGACAGCGCTACCGATACCGAGACTTCCATCATCGGCGACACCCATGATCAGCCTCACCACGACGATAAGGAGAAGACAGAGCCTGCGCAACCCGCTGCTCCTGCTACTCCTCACGACGCCATGTCCAAGCCCGACCACCCTTCCAACGCTTCCACCGAGCTTGGCGATTACTACTTCAACTACATCATGAAGGCCAAGGTTTCTCCCACCGACAAGAAGTACGCTCCTTTCGGCGCTTTCCCCATGGAGCTCCCCGGAGCCCCCAAGTGGACCGAACTGGTTGGCGAGGACCTTTGCATTATCGATCTTGACAACCGACCTTTCAACGAGCCCGGCCAGATCTTCTCTGACAAGTTGATGAGCTGGGACCGCGCTGACGAGACCCACGGTCTTTCTCTTGGTGTCCTGAACCACTGGCTCTACGGTTCGTACAACCCCATTTGTGTCAGTTTCTGTTGCTAACCCCTCACAGCCAAGAACCACGGTTACAAGTACTACTACGTTGACATCACCGACCCCTTTGAGGACCGCCGCAACTCGTGGAAGAAGCCCCCGATTCTGTCCAAGATCCTCAAGAAGCACAAGGCTTGCATCTTCCTTGACTCCGATGCCGTCTTCCACCACCTCGACCTGCCTTTTGAGTGGCTCATGAACTACTGGCAGCTCCACCCCGACACCAACTCTCTGGCTCTCGCTTACGATCCTCACCACAAGAACAACATGGACAAGTTCGAGAAGGTTTACCTCAACACTGGTTTCATCGTTCTCCAGAACAACGAGAAGACTTTTGAGATTCTCAAGGAGTGGGAGGACTGCCCCAACGAGGGTGGCAAGCACCCCGACTGTGTCGAGTTCCGAAAGAACCGCCCCGGAAAGCCTACCGACCAGGGTGGTTTCGGTACCTACATCCGATACGATTACCCCAAGGACATCAAGGATCTTCCTTGCACCGAGGCCAACGGTTTCCCCGAGTCCAAGTCTGGCTGCGACGGAAAGTTCATCAAGCATCTCTGGACCGGAAAGAAGGACCACATCAAGGTCGTCATCGGCCAGCAGGTCCCCGGTGACTTGCTGGAGATGTTCCACAAGCAATTCATCGACGAGAAGCCCAAGTTCTTCATCTCCGAGCGAGACGTGATGGCCTGGTCGGACTAAGATAACGAACGATGCTGCATGCCCTTTAATGAAGAATAGAGAAACAACGGACATGAGGACACTTTTCCACAAACAAAAACAAATCTTTTTTTTAATAACTTTGTACTTTAACTTATACCATCCAGGAGAGAGGTATTTGTACTCTCCCGGCCTCTTCATTATGGTGTTTCTGGGAGTGTGTTTTATGGTCCAGTTGAATCCGAGACATTTGGATTTTGTCCTTTGTTGCGACGTTATGTAATGCATTCAGATTTCAGCATGACTCGGTTTATGAGTAATAGGGAATAACATGAGTTTTGATGTTACGTTTTGTCTGTCTGTGGTGTGATGTTCGTGATTGAAGATGTCTTGGTGATTGTGCATGCTATGGTGTTGAGAGTGTGTGAGTAGTGAACGGAGGGAGCTGCAGTATCTGGGTTGGTATACGGCATGCAAATGGCTTTTAGATGGAGGTCTAATACTCGTGCATGCGATCGACGTCCCTAGTAGTAGCCGACTGTCCGTAGGGCTGACTTTCCGCCATCCATGGTGATCCTGAACGATGGGTACGGATACGGTGTAGGAGAACGGATTTGTCGCGGGAACTGCTGCTCCGGTCCTAAGCATAGGGTAAGATACTCGAGATTACATTGAAGAATGATGAGCCTGCCTTGGAGGTCACTTCAACTGCTACCTGCCGGGTCGGGTACATTAAAAATGACGTTAAACGACTCATGTTGCATGACATCAAGTCTAGGCATGTTACCCTAGAGTGAGTACCTGGTTCTCAAGACAAATAATTTCGATTATATTTCTAACCTACATAGCACGCAAATGCGAAGTCACATCGCATGACACTGTACATCATGAATGGCGGGATCAATCAGCGACTCTAGGTCCAGTACCCGAGGACCTCAATCAATAACAAAGTTCTGAGCTGATTGTGAGAAGAAAGCCGAGGCTATCATCACCACTCACCAAGATGAGACGTCGGATCATCTTTATAATCATCTCAATTAACAATAAAGACAAGGTTTAATTACTAGGGACGAGTACCGCGTTTATGATCATTAATCTTAAACCCGAGCTATTCGCAGGTTGGGGTAGCAGTTCGATCAGTAATCACCAAAACACACGGGCAAAACACATAAATACTCCTGCGGAACAACGATGCCGCTCTTCCAAAACACCGGTGGACTGCTGCGGCTGAAGTATGGCGCAAGAGTGTATTGATAAGCCGTTGTGATAGATATAGTGCGCATTTGGCCGTTGAATTGAAGAGTGATGATATAGTTGATGCATGTTGTACTATGGATAATACTGAGAAACACCAAGGCGAGCTCGAAGGCGAGCTGGGGAATGATTCTACGACGGAACATGATATGGAAGTCGCCAGACCGAGTGGGCAACATCAAGATGATGACTGGAATACGAGCTCCGAGAATCCCTTCAATTGGCCCTCGTGGAAGAAAGCATTGCAGGTAGTAATGCTCTCCTCATCAGCCATCCTCGCGTAAGTCCTTTACCTCCTTCAGAAACGCCTCTAACAATCCAGATCAATCGGCACATCAATCATGAGCCCAGCCCGCAACGAACTAATGGCCGAATTCAACATCAGCTCAACAGTAGCTCTCCTCCCACTGACAATGTACGTCCTCGCCTTGGGTTTCGGACCCATCATCGGCGGCCCTTTGTCAGAGACTATCGGTCGCTACGCCATATACGCAGCAAGTGTGCCTCTCGGCGCACTGTTTACCGTGGGAGCTGGATTCACGCATGATTTTGGGGCGTTGTGCTTTCTGCGCTTCATGGCGGGGCTTTGTTGGGCGCCGGTTCTTGCTGTTGCACCGGGGACGTTGGCGGAGACGTTTACGCCGAAGAATAGAGGGCCTGTTTCGGCGGTGTTTATACTCATGCCGTTCCTAGGTCCTGGCTTAGGGTGAGTTATCTGACTCAAGAGTGTGTGATGTGGGAGCTGACGATGTAGACCTGTTATAGGATCCTTTGTGGTTAATCGGAAGGGATGGCGTTGGACGCAGTGGACTTTGGTCTTCTTTTCCATCCTAGCAATGATATTCTCAGCGTTCGCACACGAGACCTTTCATCCTGTCATCAAGCGGAGGATAGCAAAGAGGAAGGGACTCAAGATTGACCCGCCGCCGCCGTTGGCTGCGAGGCTTAGAATGTTTGCTCTCGTGGCGGTTGTTCGACCTATTCGGATGTTGCTCTTCGAACCGATTACTGGATTCATTTGCTTATACGTCGCAGCTGAGTTTGGAACGTTGTTTAGTTTCTTCGCTGCTGTGCCGTATACGTTTGGGCGGGTCTACCAATTCTCTATCGAAGAGTTAGGATTAGTCTTCCTCTCTATCGTCATCGGATGCATCCTCGGTCTTGTCACGGTCATCCTTTGCGACGTCTTCCTGTATCGCAAGCAGGCAGGAAAGTATCCTCCTCATCAAATCCCGCCCGAGCATCGTCTCTATCCCTCCATGATCGGCAGTATCGGTCTTCCCATCGGACTCTTCTGGTTCGGCTGGACAGCTCGAGCGGGCGTATCATGGGCGAGTCCCGCTGCTGCGATGATCGTATTTGCGTGGGGAAATCTATGTGTGTTTGTTAGTACGATGCAGTATATCACTGATACATATCATGGGAATGTTGTTGCTAGTGCTGCGAGTGCGAATAGCCTTGCGAGATATGGGTTCGCGGGAGTATTTCCGCTGTTTACTATTCAGAGTAAGTGCATCCTCGGGTTGTTGACAGGGAAGAAGCTAACGTGCGATGTGGTGTATGAGAAGTTGGGAATTGATTGGGCTAGTAGTCTGCTTGGGTTTGTTGCGTTGGCGTTGTTGCCGGTTCCATGGGTGTTGTTCAAATATGGTCCGACGATCAGGGCGAAGAGTTCTTATGAGACGCTGCAATTTGGTTGAAAGTTGTATTTATCACTAGTCTCGACAAGAGACAGCTTCTTGAGATCTATGTCAAGAGATCGATGACACTTGCAGCGCTTATTCCTTGCCAAGCTCGATCAACTTGAAATCCTCATTAAGATAATACCAAAGATCATATTTCCCCGGGCGCTCCGCAGCAGGAAGAACCTTGGACTCAGCAGGAAGTCCAAACTTCTTGGTAGCATCCTTGCTCTTCACATAGCTCTTATACTTCTTGTTGCTGGTCTGGTTGTAGTTGATCTCATTGGAGTCAACCTTTCCTCGGACGAGGTCCTGCCAGTCGCCGTGGCTGCTCTTGATGGTCTTGGCCATGAACTTGGCGTCTTGGTAGTCTCCTCCTATGATCTCGAGGACGGAGTCGCCGCGGGCGACTTTGTAGTACTGGGGTTTGTTAGTGGAGGCAAGGAATGGGGCATGTAGACAGAGAAGTCGTCCTCAAAGGCTTAGGACACCGAAATGAAGTTACCCAAATGCTAGTCTAAGATAGCATGAGGTAGCCAAATTTCGTTTCTTAGGCTGTTGGCGACCGGTTCTCCTGAAACCCTGACAGGGGACGGGGAATTTGACGTACTGTGAACCAGTTGTAGAAGGTCTTTGACAGACCGGGGCGGTACTTTTCGAGATCGGCGACGGCTGGGGTTGTTAGATGGATACTGGAGAGGAGGGGTTGACTTACTGTCGACGAGCTCGGCGAGAGGGTCCTTGGTGTCGATGGCGATAACCTTCCAGTCAGTCTCACCGCCCTGTTCAAATCAGTAACTTCTTCATGTACCGTCAACTGCTCAAACTTACATCGTTGAGAGCAAGGCCGCCTAGGACCTTGACAGACTTGACTTGGCCAACATGGGCAGGACTATCACACATCAGCTCTGTCGCTCCAATTGAAGAACAATACTTACACCTCGCTGATGTCAAAAAGATCAATGGGATCGTTGTCACCAGGATACCCAGTAAAGTCGTGGTCAAAGTTGGGGCTCTCCCAGGTTTGAGGGATGGATCCGTAATGGAAAGGGTAAGACTTGTGAGGCCAGACACTTTCCACGAAACGGGGCTTCTTCTTCTTGTCGTCGTGGAAGATGGGGTCTTGAGATGGTTAGCTAGTTAAAAAGTGACGTTTTGAGAAGGACGTACTCATGGGCTCATCGCGACGAGTCTCAATCTTTCCATCAGTCCATCGAGGGATTTCGACAACGTAGCTCACGATGCGATTGTTGCCCTTCTCAGGGTATAAAGGAACATCGTGCCAGAAAGAAATAGGCTGGCCGTCTTTCTCGAGCCACACACGCCAGTCCTGAACATGTTAGCAAGTGTTCATCTGAACAAAACAGGGCACGTACAAGGGTGTTCCGAGCGCCGACTTCTCTCAACGTGAGAGAGTCATAGTCAAAAGATTTGGTCCTAGGCGCAATGGAAGATCCGAGAACAAGGCAAGGCAACAAAGCCAGCTGAACAAGCGAAGATGTAGCGACCATTGTGAAAGCTGCTGAACATTGGAGTTACATGGCTTTCGTCTCGTCTTTTAAGCATGTTTCATTAATGCCAAGACGATAATTGTAAATCGCTCGCGTGAGGCTCATTTCTCTCGGTGACGAATAGAGTTGTTTCGATAGACGGGATCCTCATCCTGGTAGATCAGGGCGATCTGGTAGATCCAACGACGGTGGGAGGCTGATGCACGTGGAGAGTTGGGGACGAACGTGGGGTGGGGGTGCACCAGTTGTTGTAAGCGGAGAGGCACGTGGGGTTTGTCGATCTTGGGACATGTCCCTGGCTACTGCAGGTCAACCAAAACATTTGTCGGGAATAATAAGGAGGATTGTCAATTGTTGTAAACATGGTACATGTCATGATACCATTAATCACATTTCCATCTCGCCAACGACCTTGGTGAGCGCCGCTACTTCTCAGTCTTCTTGCCTTTCTTCCTCTCTTGAATATTCTTGTTGCCGGCGGGAGGAGCTTACATACCAAGAAGTTAGCAGATGCCCATAGAGGGTTGAGAAATGAAACCTATATACCTCGAAGGTTGCTCTCCCAGTGATGCTTTTGACCTTGACTCCCGGCTTTACGAACTGCTTCACCTGGGATTGTAGTTCATTGGCCTCCAGGCTCCTCATGTGTATTGCCAACGGGCACAAGGACTGACACCCCAGCCACGATGATGCGGTCGTTGCTTGTGATCTGCTTCGGAAGAATGGTTGGCCTTCTTGCAATAGTGGCACACCGGACGATGTGGTGACCTCACTGATTGACTCCCCATTAGGGAGAGGATCAGTATTCGGCGGCTGGAGAGAATTTCTCGACAAGACGATTTCCACCACAATAGCCCATGAGAGTCACGGTACGATTAATGTGTGCCCGGAAAAGGGATTGTTCAATTGAAAGAATAAAAAAAAAGAGGAAAAAGAAAAAAAGGGATTACTCCTCCTTCTTCTCGGGCTTGTCCTCCTCGGGCTCATCCTTCTTCTTCTCCTCGGTCTCCTCCTTCTTCTCCTCCTCGGCCTTCTTCTTCTCGGCCTTCCTAGCCTTCTTGCTCTTCTTCTTCTTCTTCTTCTTCTGCTTCTCGGCCCCGGGCCGAAGAATGACATCGGTGGACTGGAAATCGATCAAGTCAGCATATGTTTAACATTAACAGAGCCGGGAAATAGAACTTACAGCCACCGACAGGACTGTGCCCGGAGGGCACCAGAGAGCGCCGCCGGAAACAATCCGGACATGGTTTGCTATGGAAAGTTAACATTTGGTCTGTAGGGGAGTAGGCAGGTAACAGAAGAATTGTCCTCATGGACTTAGGCTGCTCAAATAAAGTAGCCTAAGTGCTAGCATAAAGTGACAAAACTATTTCGTCTCCTATGCTCTCGGCGACCAATTCTTGTGACAACTTGAGGGTAGAGATGACTTACGATTGTTGCGGCACTGGAAGGAGGTTAGCAGATGAAGATACTATCAGAACGAGGAAATAGAACTTACCGGGGACAGAACGGTCCCCGGGGGGGAAAAGGGGGTGACCCCCCGCGATGGTAATGCTTTGGGAGTTCTGAGAATATGAAGTTAGTAGGTGAAGTCAGTAGTAGGAGCAAAGAGTACGTACGGGCGCCATGATCGTTTGTGAAAAAGAAAAGAAAAAGAAGGAAAAAAAGGCTTATTTTGAATGGATACCTATTTATATATGTTAGCAATGGCAATTTACCACATGAAGAGAAGTAACAAAGAAGTGAAGAGGTAGATGTGATGGGAAGTGCCGAGGTATGAGGAACTCGCGCGAAAAGCAGCAAAGAGCAAATCGACCGAGACGGGAAGATTGAAAGTAATGAGCAAAGAGAAAGGCCTCAACAGCAGAAGAAAAAAAAAGGAGACAGGCAAGGGAAGTGTGAAAACGCGAGGCTCGAGGCGTGATGATAAAAAATGATGCTCGCAGACACATCAACTCCAACAGCCACGTAGAACGACCGGGAGGGCGCGCAAAAAGGAAAAGAGGAGAAGAACATGTAGCCAGAGATTCAAACGAAGAATGCACGAAGAACAACATGATCGTGATGCGTTGTGGTGGAGTGGGAAGGGGTAGAGCAAAAGGAAGATCGCGAACTCACGTTTGTGAAGATGGCTGAGGAGAAAAGAAAAAGAGGAAGGCAGGAGAGATCGAGAGGTTCATATCTAGACACGATTAGCTAATCGAGATTCACACCAGGCTGGGCTTTGGGTGGGAGCAGTTGACAGCTCCCGCCGGTTGCCTGACAGCTGGCCGGCAGTGACAGCAGATTCCTTGCTGCCATATTCTGAGATTCTTCTGACATGACCTCCAAGAGACGATAACCGGTGGACTGTATGTCTGCGAGAGTGTTATATCAGTTAGTTCCCCCCAAGTCATCTCGTTATCGTGGAGTGTTGTGGTAGACATAGTCGTTATGTGACTTTCAAGCACCCACAATAAACCAAACTCACTGCTCTCATGACAGTGGTAACCGGGTACTATAGTAACTGGCAAGTGCGTCAAAGTCATAGAAAGCCAGGAATGATCCTGATTTAAGAGTGGGCAGATAAACATGTATTCATGGTGTAGTTGCAAGTTCCTGAAAAACCTTTCTCCAAGACAAAGTAGCCCCTTTACCAACATAGTACCAAACTTGACCTGGTGGTGCAATACCCCGCAGTCACCCTTCTGTGTCCTCGGCCACAAGAAATAGAACGCGAAATTCTATGGCTGTTTAGGAGACGAGGGACTCATTCGGAGCGTGAGTATTGCTTCGCATACGTCAAGATCCCGCGATTCGCCTCTAAAAGAGTTACCTCTGTATACCGCCAGATAAAAGACGATGGTGGTAAAGATAGGAGACTGGCTGCTGGCTCTTCATTCTGGTATTATTGTTCAGGACCCAAGTACAGGGCTCGATTTGGACTGCAATGGCGGCTTTCACTATCAACACGCTCTGAGAGTCTGGCTTCTGGTAGATTTTTATTGAAGCATGTCCCCAGATTCGAACTTGCAAATATGACCACGAAGACTCAGTTACGATTTTCGAATGCTGGGTGTTACAATCACATCCATGCTATAGGGTGACATTCGGTGATAGCATCGCCAGCGCAACACACGGAATGCGATGGTAGTGCGAAAGGCATGAGTCCAGTTAATCAAGACAATTGGAGTGTAGTTTTCAGAAACAATTAATCTGCTTTCCACTCCTATGTGTGATGTTCTCGTAAGATTGAAACCGCATCATTGCAATGGGGTTGAAACACCATGTATTCGACCACATCAGTCCCTGTTCTCGTGCGGAATGTTTTTTGTAAGTGCGCTGGCGTGCTGATTAAATATTGATACAACCTTTTATTCCAGGTGATTGGAACGGCGCAACGAAATTTCCCCTTGCCAAATTCTCCTCCGCCATTCATCAGTGTCTTGCGATGGTCTTTGGGAAGGTGCTCCTTGTGTCTCGGGCCGTTCCCGTGAGATGTGGTTTGACTGGCTCGCTTGCGTCGATCGATTTAACCTTAAAAAGATACGTACCTACGGCATGATCGAATGAACTTGCACGCATCAGATCGACATCACAAAAGTCCAATAGGTAGTTAATAAGCTCAACAATTAATTCAAATTGTAAACATGGAACACAGGAATGACCGTGGCGTCGTGCAGTGCAGTTATGGTAGTGTCGTAGTGTGGCGGTGCGGCGGTGTGTGGCGCACCTCAGAGTTGGGGATACCCTCACCACATATGCTCAACTTTGTCGGCAACACACCAACAAAACGCAAGGCAACGTGACGGAGTGGTTAACGTGCTTGCCTCGAAAATTAGTTCAGTAAGCAAGTTCCTTCGGGAGCGCAGGTTCGAATCCTGCCGTTGTCGTTTATCTTTTGTTGATGTGTTGTAAACGCATCCACATATGCCTTTTTGCCTTTGAGTGTAACCCCAGCAACTACCCACCACCTCCCCACTCTCTGTCACGTTACTGGAAGCATAAGATCATTTTGTCCAATCAGGTGGGTACTAGAAAGGTTCTAATGCTCTTAGATTTGGTTCTTGGAGCCCCATCGTGATATCTCATGAAAGTGATCGGGGACAGCGTGCTGTTTTTACTATGTAGCTCTGGGTAATGGAATTCATGCAGCGTTACTGATCTTTTGTGAATCTGGCCCTGCCATACTTCGTCTTGTAGGTACAATCCTCTCTGAGATTGAGGTTTGTGGCTGGGTATTGAGCTAGTAAGAAGATGGTGTGTGGCATGGTAAGATCCGCCATATGTGGCTCCAAGACCCAACCCTGAGAGGCTAATGGAGCTTGTCTGTTATCCACCTTGGTGGGCAACCCATATCGTTCCAGTGATGTCCCGTATAGTGGAGAGGTGGTGGGGGTGTCCAAGAGCAAAAAGAAATGGTGCTGTCACACACCAGGACAAGGTTGCTCGACAACGGCAGGATTCGAACCTGCGCTCCCGAAGGAAATCGCTTGCGATAGCTGAATAGTTTTCGAGGCGATCACGTTAACCACTCCGTCACGTTGCCTTTGTTGATGTTGTGGTTGTTGAAAGATATGTATATCAGGGAACCGGCGGGTGGCGTGGAGGTGGAGTTTCACCACCACCACATACCTCATGTGACTTGACGAGCAGCTGCAGTTCCCTGCTAAGTCAAATGCAATCAATGAGCGGTAAACCGTTCTTTATCTTGTTCTGAGGGATCTGGCTGGTTCGCATTTGACATTCCGGCTGTATGTGTCTTCTGTTCCTGGACGGATGTCCCGATCAGGTTTTCGGCAAAAGTGGGGCTACTCGAAGATCGAGCCGGGATTAAGCGAGCCAATCAAATCACAGATCTTGCAGGCCACTCCCGTCCCCACAACCCGTAATCACGAGCTGTACCTTCCCGTGGACCATCACAATTACTATGATGAAGGGCGAAGGAATGAAACCCGTGAGCTAGTAGGCCAGCCGCAATCAAGATAGCTGAGACTTCATTTATTTTAACATTCTTAGTCCGATCAGTAGTTTCATCCATCTCACAATTCATCGAGTGAATGTATTAAGACGATGCTAATGGATTCACAGGCGTGATGGTTCGAAGAGAGATTGTTAGGACAAAGTAGTCTAAATGCTCTTCTAAGCTCGCATAAGGTTACTTAATTATTTTGCCTCTTAGGATCTCGGTGACGTATTCGGCTGGCCCTTGACCTGGGATTTCTATGCCCGTGCTATCACCTTCTCTACAAGAGAGCTTGTTAATTCAATACTATCAAGTCTTTACATCTCCATGTTCTCTGTGGCTTTCGCCACCGCGGCCTCGGCCTTCTTGTCCTCCTTCGCTTTCTTTGTCTTCTTGTTCTTCTTAACCCCCGAAGGGGTAGGAGCGGACTACAGATTGATAAGTTAGCAAACGCTTCTAGTTGGTACTGGTCAAGTAGTATCCAATATGACAAGAACTTACAGATGAAATCACGCTGCCCGCGGTCAGGAGAAATGAACCGCCGGACAAATAGTGACACCTTTTGCTAAGAAACATTAATATCTGATTTATAGGGGGGTAGGTAGGTAGGACTTACTATTGTGGCGACAGACGGAAGCGGTGTGGTTGGGTTTCTTGCAAATGGAGAAAACCGCACGGAACTTCTTCTTGGCCTTTTGTTCTGAGGCCGGGCCTCAGAGGTATCCCCGGCCTCACTGACTGAATCTTCAGGAGAGGGACTGTTCAGTGGCCCTGGTAAGTGCCGCTGTCTCCTTCCCGGTCTTCTCGGTCTTCGCAGTATTCTGCTTCTTCTTGGATTCCTCTACTCCACTGGGAGGGCCCTAAATACCAACAGGTTAGCAAGTGAGTTGACAGGATGTTGTTTAGGTAGAGGAAACACGAACGATGTGGGAATAGGTAGTCTTTTTCCCCCTTGAAGGTTGACGGATTCTTGTCGTTGTAGTGGCACGAACGGTGAGAAGACATTCTTTTTTTTGTTTGCCGGAGCCGTAGATGCGAAGTGAAAAAGTGTGCATTGCCCGATCTTGCGGGTAGCGCGATGATATCGATGTCGACTCCTCCAAGGGAGGGAGGTCTTGACGAAGCGAAGCAACCTGGTAGCGTTTGAGATTCAGAGCCCGAATTATGCCCTGCGTGGAACCGTGGAGCCGAAGAGGTTGGTTGATGCTGGAAGGAGCCGAGATCCTGGATAGGAAGAAACTGCCGTGGATGTTGTTTGATCCTTCCTCGGTAGGTACTGTAGTAATCAAGAGGAATAAACATCATTTCCTCCTCCTTCCCCGCTCTTGCCATAAGCCCTAGGTAGTTTCATGTGCATGCCAACATGAATCTCATCCGCCGCCGACCTTTCGTCTTCTGCCGCGCGCACTGCTGCGCAGCTGCCAACTTTCTGCACCGCCAAATTACAACACAAAATCTTGCCTCCTTCATTGCTCTGGGAATATCTATCCCAATGAGCCACAATATTAAATGAGGGAGTTCATGAAGCTGGGAGTCAAGGTCACCCAATCACATACCCCCGCACTTACATCTCCTACGATATCATCAACAAGAACCATTGAGCTTCCGATCAATTCTTTTGTAACAGATAATCACTGTGCTCTGCAATATGAAGCAGCTAGGTAAATCATCCGAAATCGCCATATCCTACGTGCCTCATGATCTACAGTAACTGGTGCAACCCCAACCCCTCGATCACATTGTCTGGCCGTGCTGTTGAAGTTGTAAGAACTATATCAGGACAAACTTACAGGAGCGTTAATTAAGACATTCCAGATCCCCAGGTAACATGACCTGATCTATGCACAGGAGCTTGATATCATGTTCCTCAAGAAGGACCGTTCGGGCATCGAGCGACAAGTAAACATACCGGCGAGCTCTTAGTTCGCGGGTGTCAAATCTCCATTGAGGAACTGGATTACCTACCAATCTTCTTTCGTCGCCCACCGCTGTCAACGAATTCTACTAGGCTAGACAATGGCCGCTCATGATGGTTGATAATCACGAGTTCGTGTCGCCCCTTATTTGCCTTTCTCACTCTCTCACCAACACATTTGAGTATACCCTTTCCCCAGATACGTGTGACTGTGGCTTCAAATGAAAACTCTAACCAGCACATATATAAGAGCCCACCCAGCCGGGGAAGAATAACCTACCCGAAAAAGGCACTGAGTAAACATCTGCCCCGGTCTTCCGAGTGTCACAGCCTTTCACTTCGTACTCTCTCAACCTCCCAAGATCAGCATGAAAGCTTCCAAGGCAGCCTACCTTCGTATCTCTACACCCGAATGGGGTTTTCACCAAGAGCCTTCCTTGGGGTGTCGACGAAAGCAACAAGATCACGCTTGAGCGGGCAATCTTTGATCAAAGAGAGCACCAGGTCACGATATGTCGAAACAGATGTCTCAACACCAAGTGCCTGGAAAGTATCGTGAACTGCTACACGGCGTATTCTCTCCGGTTCTAAAGTCATATCAGCAGCACCAACTCCAGAAAGAGCTGGATCCAGAGGGGGGTAGTGAACAAACCCTGTCTTGCGTTCAGACGAGTTCTTGAAGGGATCCATGGCTGCTGGTGACTCAATGGTTTCAAAGATTCTTGACAATGGTTCAAGCCAATTTGGGAGGAATCTTAAGACAAGACACGTCCATGGACTGAGAGGCAGGGAAGGTACGGAGGGACCCGCTGTCGAGTCCTAGAGTAGATCCAATTGATCAATTCGGTACCCTCTGGGCAGGGCGCTCCTTCCTTCGTTCCTTCGCTTTCAGGAAGGAAACGCATCAGGGACCCGGGTGATGTCGCCAGCGCTTCTCTCACATTCTCTGCATCTCCATGGTCCTGTGGAAGTACTGATCACATGCGGTTGTCACGAAAGAAACTAGATTTTGAGGAAATAAACTGCAACATTGTATACATGTTCCATATCGTGTCATACTTATAGCTGAAGAACCACTAGGTGAGCCAACAACGTTACCACCTGGGTTTGGCAGAGATCTTTTTCTGGTAGCAAATCCCATGTAAATCCCAGGAAATGTGATGGGCAGACCATTATTCTTTCTCTATAATACGTGTGCGGGTTCTTACCAGACGCGGTCTTTGGGGGGCAGTAGCGGGGAAGATAACTGCCGCAGAGGCTGAGCAGGCAACAAGATTTCTTGTATATCTTGGTTTCGAAGGGCCTGTTCTGGGCAATAGTGTGTTTGCTTGTTTATCTTTCGCTCCAGACTTTCCAATATCTCTGACTGCGGAGGCGCGCAGCTTGTGGATGAGGCTCGTTCAATCGCGTCTGACGATGGGAAAAAACCATAATCCTGAACAATGCTACTGGAAGGCTTCCTCGGGTACCTGTTGGGCGAATTCGAGCCGGTGCAACGGCTATGCCATTGAAAGCAAGGAGAGTTGGCTCGACTGCCTTGCTCGATTGCCATTGTGTTGGTATAATTGTAGAGGCTCAATGAATTGAAGCAGAAATTGACCTTGCGCTTGGGTTGGACGCGACCTCGTGCTTTGCAGTCGAATGGTCGCAGTTGGGTTCGGCAGGGAACTTTCGAGCTCCAGCGGCGGCGGAAGAAAGTTGGATTGTTAAGCGGCGGAGTAGTGAATACTGATGATCTGGCGGACGCAAGAAGTCAGCTTCACGATGTATGACGAAGGGAGGAAATGGAGTGTGCTCGAGTCGTAGCGAGTGCGGACGCTACTCGAGATGTATCTCATGGCGACAATGGAGAGTTGTAAGATTTCGCGCCGGAAATCCTTGTCTCATGTAATGACCTTCGAGCCCGAAGAAAGTAATGTCTGCTTGAGATGGGCCTAGCATGAGCAGATTCAGCGCTTGTTAGAAGGTGACGCATCACCACCTACGCTCTCGCCATGTGTCGGAAATCTTCGCCGCCGCATTCCTAAGAGACGAAATACTTGGTCACTTTATGATGACTTAGGCTAGAACTTAGGCGACTTTATGTTTTAGTAGCCTAAGTTTTTGAGGAGTTTCTTCTGTTGCCTACCTCGCTCTCCACCAAGCGAGGCTTGTCCTCTCACAAGAACCGCCCCATAGGACTGCGCTCGACTGTTTGACTGACCTCGATTAAACAGAAAGGATGAATTCGAATTCTGGAGCAGTTTAGCCAACTGAACACCAAGTTCGGGAGAAGACGAACACTGTTTGATTCACATGCTGGTACGGGAGTTGCGCCTTTCGCCATCTTGGATCAAGGAGCTTGTTCTGCGATCTGCTCCAGTCTCCGAGAACATACCTCTGGATTCAAGAAAAGAAACATAGGGTCGAAATACCATGCAAGGAATATGGGTTCGATAGCTTCGGAGTAGTAGGCGATGAACACTTGTGCCAGTTCTGCTGAACAATCATGAACAAGAGTCAAAAGCATGGGGAGAAAAAGATGTGATATTTTCTAGGCTGCAAAAAATGACGATGCGTTTATATGAGTAAAGTTCTTGCTGAGGGACGAGCGACAACAAAACAGCAGTAAACAATACCTATTCTCCGATAATTATCGAGGATCTCGACTTGAAAGTTGACCTCCCCAGACAGGTCAAAACCTGGCTCGTCTCAATTCAAATCACTCCCAGCCACTGAGTTCTAACTATCGCCAACACAGCCGTGACTCACGCGCACAAAAGGCAGCTATGCCTTGCGCAGTAGCCTTCCCTACCCCTACATTCATCTCTGACCGACAAGAGAATAGCATGTCAGTCAACCCCCATTGCGCCGCGTCGCTGGCTAACCCTTCTCTTAGAAATGGAAATCCCGTTCAATTGCTACAGCTTTACGTCGATCGAGGTGCACTACCGAGAAGACAATCGACGCATCGAAGACGCCTTTCGCCCGCTGCCAATGGACTCAGAGGTCACAAAGACAGCCAAAGCCTTAGAGTCAGATTCCGATTTCGACGACCTCCATTCTCCGATAACATGGGACTGCGCGTATGCGCCGTGAAAACAACGAAGCTATGAAGTCCATTGAGATTGCCAACCAAAATGTACTTTTTATTATGAAATTACATAACGCCGACCGACTTCCCCCCTTTCAACACCAACAACGAAGCAAGGGCATATCCTCTTCCCCCTCTTCCAGGACTCGCAGTCCCTTACATTGTGTGGAACGAGTTGCTCACATCGTAAGCTCGATTGGAGTCTTTGCCGTAGGTCGTTTCGGACCTTCTGTCAACAGTAGCCTTGACGAAGCTGCTTTCCTGCGGGCATCTTGTTTCCGACCGCTGCTGCTACCCTTTGAAAGACTCCGGGTACCTTGCGGAAAGCATGAATTACCGCGAGTCCCAACACCAA